GAAAAAATGGCAAAAAAAACAACAACATAAAAATAATACAATTTACAGACCTAATCTCTTGGTGGCCACTTTTGGCTACAAACAAGCTGAAAGGATAGTAATTTTGAACAAACCCAGAGGGTTAAATGACTGCCAATTTCAGTCTTTTATGTGGGAAATAGGTTGAGAGTTTGCCGACATTCCTTATAGAGAGGTCCGTTGGCTGAGTTGGTGAAAAGTTCTCAATAGTTTTTGAGCTCAGCAAAGAAATCCGTCAGTTCATGGACATGGCATGTATGATGCGGTGAAGGCATTTCAAGTGAAGCTGTCATAAATGCACCAATGTAACTTGCCTCACTATCCCTGTTGCCAAGTAATTTTGAAAAAAGTCGGCGCAGTTTGCTGATAAACTGAGCGCACTGCGCACTGAGTTTGCACGCCGCTTTGGTAACTTTGAAGCACAAGCTCCTTCTACATGCGGCTCAAACCTTTGTGTATGCTTTAATTTGTTTTTTGTTGCTTTTTTTTGGGGGGGGGGGTGTTTGGCAGAATGTTCATGTTTCTAACTTGCATAATTTTGACAGGATATATTTTTATGAGAAGCAAAATATTTAAAGTTAAAGTTTATTTATTCTGGAATAATATTCCTGTCTGTTTTTATTCATAGTCTGTTGAATAAATGGTTTTCTTGTGGTCTCCTGTGCAATTGAGTTTGACACCCCTGAATTAAAATTCTGTCTGGGTCATTGGTTGATTAATAAGATGGAGTGGAATATTGCTGCCACACCTCCTCCTCAGTCTGTCCTCAAGAATTCGGACAATTAGCATGTCTTGAGGGTGTTGATTCAATAAAACTAAGATATTCATCCTGCTGTAACCAGGTTTTTGTAAGCCATAAAAAACCAATGTGTTGATCGATTATTAAAATGTACTAACAGGGACAGAAGAGATACACCTAATATTTAATAATCCATTTTTCACAGTTTTAGTCTTTGGTGCAGTTGTGGATACAAGATTGTTCTTTCGTTGTGATATTTAAATTGTTTTCTGGTTGATTGATTTTTGGTTGTTTGGGGGCTGACACAGTCTCTAGGGGCATTGAGTTTTGGGGGGACAACAGGAGGAGAGAAGCTGCAGAGAGTTATGAAAGACTTCAACTCTGCTCCCTGGTCCCAACTCTGCACTGTAAAAAAGATCCGTATATTTAACAGTGAAAGACAGTAAAAATACGACATGAAAAACCTGTTAACTATAAAACAGTTTAAAACTGTTGATTTGATGTAAAATTGCCGTAAATAAAGAAATGTGGAAAAACTGTAATATGTACATTTTTTCTCTGAAAAAAATACATAAACCTACTGTAAATCGCTATTGCATACTTTTTTTAACGGAAGATTCCAATAAAGTTTAGAACAGGCAAACACAAATTTTTTTTACATTTATTTATTGAAAAAAATACAGGTTTTAATTGCTGAATGTAAGCATGGTTGTGCTGGTAATGGATACATGCTGTAATATGACTTTGTGATTTTTGCATTAATTTCACATAATAATAATAATAATAATGGATTAGATAGCGGTTTTCAAGAAGCCCAAAGCACTTTACATTAAATCCATTCTTGATTCATAGCACATTTAATACAGCATATTCTTTCTCAAATTGTAATATAACAGGTACATATGTCCCAAGGTCTTTATACTAGAAATGTATTAGGGCAATTTTTGGATGTAGTTCTTGTAAAGAATATGGGATGTAGCTGTTAAATCTACATTCTGTTGAACTCAATAAACCATGAGTTTAAAATGTAAAAGCTAACAACAACTGGAGAGACCTACAGCTAATGATAGACATACTATATTATTGAGTAAATTCATATAATCCCATAAGTATTAAAATAATAATCTGTTGTCTGTTCTATTTATTCATAGTTAATTATCATATGAAGAAAAAAGATTTTAAAAGCACCTCCTCCCAAAACTAGGCATTTTCCCCTGAAGTTTAGAGCACCGTTTCACATCAAGGCGCCTGATTTCAAATGGACCAATCAGCACACTGCATCAGGCTCCACCGCAGATAACGTCTGTACAGCTCCACACAAGTTTTGCTTTGGACTACTACGGCATCACGCCATCTTCATTTTCGTCGACTTGTTTCTCATTTTTTTAATTTAACGTCTGCCACAGCACGTCTTCAGTTACTACGGTAAGAAAATAATCCAACTTGGTTTATTTATCGACAGCATTGTGTTGCAGGCAGTGAAGGCGCAAATGATAAATTTACGTTAGCTTTAGCTCGTTTCTAGCATTAGCGTTAGCTACATCAGGCTGAAAAGAGCCTTGCAAAACCAGCAGTGCGCGTTTTGAGACGTGTTTTGGAGACGGGTGTATTAATGGAAACCGTCTAATTAGTATAGCTATATTTGAATGCTTTGTCTAAATGCGGCCTGGATTTTCCCACCTTGTTTGACATCTGGCTGAAGCTTTAAGTTAGCTAGCCTCGCAGCTGTGTCATATTGATTATGTATTTTTGCAGCATATGTGGAGAATCGGTTCAGTCCGTGAAAGCTTATGTTTTGCATTGCAGACTGCATCGTAATGAACCCCGGTGTATTTTTAAATGTGTTGAAGTAAGTTGTAAGCAGGTGTTTTCTGGATATGCTGCTTTAAAGTCTCACTTCTACCGCCACCACACTGGTACCGCAACTGTTTCTCAGAATGCTACCTTAATGGGTTTGAATTGCACTGTCTCACTTTGTGAACGCCAATGTGAGGGAACTAAAGCTTTGATTGCTCACTTAAAGGAACACATAGAAGAGGGACGGCATGTAACTTGTCCAGTGAGAGGATGCCAAAGTGAGTTCTCTGTAAAATCTACATTTACCTCCCATATGTCTAGAAAACACAAACGTTTGGAAAATGTGATTTGTGGTTTAAACAAAGATACTCAGTCAGAGAGTCAATCTACAAGTGCCACCATACAGGAAGGTGCCAGTGTATCAGATATAGAAGACCCTGGAATGGATGGGTCTAATTTCAGTGACCTGTATCTCAGAAATGTATGTATGTTTTACATTAAACTACAGGGACAGCATCTTCTGCCAGCATCTACCATTCAAACCATTGTTGAAGAAATACAAAATATACATGAATTGGGACAGATGTATACATTGAATAGACTAAGGTCACTTCTAAAAGATATGTCAGTTTCAGATGAAGACATTGTAAAAATCTGTGACACAGTAAAACAATCTGACTTGTTCTCAGCTTGTCACACAGGGCCCATGAGAACTGCTTATTCAAGAGTTCAGTGCTTTAAAGATGTGTGCAAGTATGTTGAACCCAGAAAAGTGTTTTTGGGCAGGGACGAGAACAGGATGGAGAGATTTGCCTATTATGTTCCTCTGCGAAATACTTTGAAGGGTATGCTGGAATCAAGTTTTTGGCAAGGTGGCATCAGTGGATCCTAATAATGTTTCAACACCAGATGTTCTCAGCGACTGTTGTGATGGTAGCGTGTTTGTGTCAAACAAATTTTTTCAGGAAAATCCACATTGCCTCAAGCTGGTTCTATACCAGGATGCATTTGAAGTAGTGAACCCACTTGGTTCTGCCAAAAAGAAGCACAAGGTTTTGGCTGTGTACTTCTCTCTACTCAACATCCCCCCCCATGCCCGGTCAAATACTGATCATATGCAGCTCGTCTTACTGTGTAGGGAGAAGGATTTCAAAGAATTTGGCCATGAAAATGTTTTTTCAGAACTCCTGACTGATTTGAAGGTACTAGAGGAGAATGGGATAACAATGGCAGACAAAACTGTAGTGAAAGGAGCGCTCTACTGCATTGCTGGAGACAACCTGGGCTCTCATTGTATTGGGGGTTTTACAGAAAATTTCAGTTCATCAGTGTACTTATGCAGATATTGTCTGTTAACTCGAACTGAATTTCAGGGTGCTGATCCAGCAGTGTGTGGACCTCAGCGGACCCCAGAAACGTATAGATCTGCCACTGAACAACTGGAAAGAGAAGACGTGTCAGAAGTTCAGGGGATAAAGTTCAGGTCTGTATTTAATTCTTTACAAAGCTTTGATGTTTGCACACCTGGCATGCCCCCATGTCTCGGTCATGACATCTTTAAGGGTGTCCTCTCATACGATCTTGCTCTTTACCTCAAGTACTTAATCAACACAAATAAATGGTTCACTTACCCAATTCTGAACAGGTGCATCAAGCAATTTAAATACAAAGAAACAGATGCTTCATCCAAACCTTGTGAGATCAGTCCAAAAACATTGAAACTTGGTGGACAAGCTGTTCAAAATTGGAACTTCTTGAGACTTTTACCTCTCATAATTGGAGACAGAGTGCAGAACTCTCAAGATGATGTGTGGCAGTTAACGTTGCAGCTTAAGGACATTGTTGACCTAATTTGTGCTCAGCAAATTTCCAAGGCTCAGGTTACTTATCTGGATGCTCTCATCCAAGAGTATTTGGAAACCAGAAAGGTGCTGTTTCCTAATATCAACTTAAGACCTAAACACCATTACTTACGACATTATCCAGGGCTGATCCTAAAATTTGGCCCTCTCATCAGGCTTTGGACAATGCGCTTTGAGAGCAAACACAGTTACTTCAAAAGATGTGCAAGGCATCTGAAAAATTTCAAAAATCTGTGCTTGACTCTTTCAGAGAGACATCAGATGTTTCAGGCCTTCCTTTCTGCTGGGTCAGTGAGTCCTCCAGCATTGCAAATAAAAGATTGCTCACCATTTTACTCAGAGCTTTACAGTGAGCAAGGTAAAGACGCAGTCCTACATTTTGGCTTTACTGAAAGCAATACAAAGATTCCAGTTGCTGTTCAGTATAATGGGCTTAATTACAGAAAGGGTCACTTTATTGTCACTAAGTTTGATCAGTCAATGGAGTTTGGTGAACTTCTCCTCATTCTTATTAAAGATGAGTCTGCTCTTCATTTTCTCATGAGAGTTTATGATGCAGAATTTCTTTCTTGCTACCACATGTACTCTGTAAAAAAATGACACTGGGAGATTAGAGTGCAGACTCATCAGTGAACTGATTGACTTGTGGCCGTTATCATCTTACGTGAAAAACGGACACCAGATTGTTCCATTGAAGCACAGCGTCTTGTCAGACTGAATGCCTTGATGTCATTGGGCCAGAGCCAAACTCTTTGTATGTGTGTCTTAACAGATATGGCTGAATCGCAGGTGCTTATCTTAAAGAACATAGGGGATGCAATAGCAGGAGTGCTTCCAGACCTTCCTGATCAACTTCTCAAGTCAGTAGAAGATACTTTGACAACATTTGGTGCAGAAACCACAGATGATTTCAAGTACATTACAGAAAATGACCTGCTGCCAGTGCTCAAGCCCATACAAGCTAGAAGACTAGTGGCTGCCTGGACCCAAAAGGGTAAGTGTAAAACATTGTCACCACACCAAACGCACAGAGGGCTGTTGAAGTTGGAAATACTTAGAATATGAGTGTTCCTGAGTCTGATGTGGCCATCATTATTTAACCATGCTTTCTGTGTAAATAAAACTTGGATGCTTTGTGGGGCAATTTAATACACTTTGAGTTTCGAAATGCAATCTATCAGACAAATTACATTATTAAGTTTTGACCACGCTGTGTAACCTTAATATCTCAAAATGTATCTATGCAGTGCATAATTTAACATAACAGAAAACATGATCTAATGCTTTCATATCTCTTTTTTATGTACTTTTAAAGTCTCTGGCACTTCGACACCAATCGCTGTACATTCCTCTCCAGTGGATGTCCTTCTTTCTCCACCCTCAATTTCTTCTTCACCAACATCATCCACCACTACTTCATCACTTTCAGGAATCTGTACACCATTACTACCAAACTGGGTAGAGAGATTTGAGATACCATGGCAGAGGCTCCCTGAGGAGTTGGTGCAGAACTTGGAAAGACAGAAAAGACCAAGCGCAAGACAAAGACGAGAAATGATAAGGATTGTGGTCTCTGAAATGATGAAGACTTGTAAGAATCCAACCAAACACAATACTACAGAGATAGCAAAAAGGATGGTGGCCAAGTATCCCAAGTCTCTTCAAGATGTGATTGATGGTGATGTTATTGGACCTGGATATCATTCTCTTGTAAAGCAACTTCAGCCAAGAGTTGAAAATGTCAAGCGACCTGACACACCAAAGGTAAAAAAACGCAAAGCAACTTCAGATGACGACAACGACACAGATGAAATACCAGCTGAACAAAAAGCAAGGGTTCAAGACACATATGGCTGTATTGGCTGGGAGCCAAAGCATTTGCCACTCTCTGAGACTGTGGAGAGTCAGCTTGAAAAAAAAGAAGAAATGAAGAAGATGTTTAAAAAGAATAACTACAGTACAGATGTTGTGAAAGAACTAGTCAAGTGCACCTATTACACGCAGCGTAAAGACATCAACAAAGGGGCAAGCATCCAGAAACTATGCCAGGAATGGCCCTTTCTCTTCAATGAAGTTGGTATGACCGCACATTTCCAAGAACTGACTGGTGTGAATCTGATGGAGACCTTCCTTGCCAATGTGGACAAAAAGGGTGCACGTCTGTTAAAGTTCCTCAAATATGTTGATGCACAAAAGCACAAGCAAGTCCTGAATGCTGTTCTCAAACTTCAGACTGAAAGAGAGCAGTCCAGTGGTTGCTTGCAAGAAGTCATTGAGATGATGTTTCTTTTACTGGCTCACTTTGACGAGAAGGGAGAGCTTCTGTTCCACTGCGTTGAGATGACAAGCCTTGCAGAAGATGTTCAGATGGAGAAAGTGCCACCAACACCCATCATCATTGTTTGCGGTAAGCCGAAAGTGCAAAATTCAACTTTTTTTTTCTGTTGTAACTGCCACGTTCTTGTACTCTTGGCTTGTTTAGTTTCATGTTCTGTTGCTTCCACACTAATACACTGGATAACACAACCATATAAGTTCAACTAGTAACATAACTCATCCTATGATCCATGTAACAAGTATCTCTGTATTTGTATATATGACTGACATTAAAGCTCTTGTTATTAAAGTTTTTAATTTGTTGTTGTTGTTGTTTTAATTCTCAGGTTCCTCCTGCTTCGCTGCTGAGACATTCATGTTGAGCATTGACAAGAAGATTGTCAACGACCGCATCACAACCTTCACCTCTGCTATCTGCCTAATGTTTGGCAGTTACTACTGCTTTAACATACACTACCCTGTGGAACTACGATCAACACTGGAGTTCCTTCAACGGTAAAATTTCTTTTATTATGGATTTATTTTTGTGCTTATCAAACTTGGCCATTTGATATCCCACCTCAGGTTGTTAATTTCCTCAATCTCTCTTGCCCTTTTTTCATGAAGGTGTTTCTTTTCCATAAATCCTGAGAGAGGCACCAAGGTTGAATCCAAGAAGAAAAAAGTGTTCTCAGTCAATCCCAGAGTCCTCACTCTCATCTCAGACATTGCTGACCATGAGTGGATCTAGTCCTACCCCTCTTGTTTGAGACGAAGTGATAAAGGTATACCATGTTACATACTCTACAGATGTTATGTTTTTGAAACAATTGTTACATTTCTGATTGTGAGTGGGAAGTTTTTAACAATGTGAAGTTTTACTAGACACAATTTGTAAAAGTACATGTTCTACTTTTGATTCACTGTTTTATATCTGAAAAATGTATCTGGTAAAAATGTGGTAAACCCGCGATTTTGTTTCTTGGATTACAATAGTGTAAAAGTATGCTGCATGTACAGTACATTGCTGGCATTTTGTAGTTATCCAAAAATTTGCAGTTGAAGTTCTCAAAACAAGTTTAAAGTTTTTGTTTGTTAGCTGATGCAGTTTTAAGATGTACATTTCCAGCTTTACTGCTCAGTTCTGTGTGCAAAATATGTGGGTGTAAACTTGTTCCTGTAATTTCTTCAATTCAGACTTTCTTTCAATTATAGAAAAAATGTTTAATTCTCTATATTTGTATTTGGATAATTTGAAAAGTCAAGATTCTACGTGTACTGACATTTATGTAGTGAGAACAGCACCAAAACACTTAAAGGGGTCTGAATTGTCTGCTAAAGGTAATATGAAGTATAATGTGTGCTCAACTTACAGCACTGGTTTTGCACAGTTTGAACAGAACTTGTAAGAATTCTGTGATTCCTCACTGTTACTGTCATGGAGATAACTAGTAACTATTTGTGATTTGTTGAGTAAAAATGTAAATGTTTGATGTTCAAAGCATCAAAGATGTTAAATAAAATACTTTTTTGGAAATTTAAGGTGGATATTTTTGTGTTACATTTAGTAATTTGAATAAAATCATGGTTTGTGTATTAAACTTAAAGAGTAGAACACTTAAAAGCACTCTAGTCTAAACACGGTTACAGAATAAAATTGTATTTTTTCTATATTTAGATAGTTAATTTTACAGGAAGGGAAAGAATGTTGTGTTTTCTGGCACAAACTTTATTTTATGTTATTTTCATGTTAATTCTAGGGGAAAACATTATTTTTTCTTCAAGTTAAAACATTTTCTTCTACGGTAAAGTATTGACCCTAGAACTATTTTTAACCGTAAAATAAACAATAACAATACCTTCTTACCGTTAAAGAAGAAAATGTTCCACCCGTAATTTTACGGTAGATTTCTGGCAACCACAGCTGCCAGCGTTTTACCGTAAAATCTACAGTTTTTTTTTACAGTGTGGATAGTCACAATTGGGTGTTTTTTTTTAAATAAACTTGGTTAGATTTCTGAAAATGAGAGCTGCTCTATCCACATGTCACTCCTGGCCCGGTTGCGGAGGGGATCAGAGAAAACTAATGAGTCCGACATTGTTTTGGCAAAGTTACACACTGATTCAACTTAAATTTTTGTGACCTCCGCTTTTGTGACGTAACTGGGTGTCGTTACTGCCGTTGTGAATTATAATGTTACTGAATTTAAGTTTGCCCTTAGCCAGCAGTTTTAAATGTCCTGCTTCACATGTCTTAGAACAGAATCAGCAATTACCAGAGTTTGATCCCCGGCAGATGTTTTGCCAAGTGGGGAAAACTGACAGTGAAGACATATGAACAGGTTGTTCATATGCACTTGGGTTCCATCCAAACTATAATACAAAAATTACAATAAAAATTCTCAATAAAACCTGGTGAAAATATAAATAATATGTAAACAACTTAACAATCCCCAAAGCGTCTAAGTCACGTCATGTGACAGCGCAACATCTGAACACAAGAGGGGGGAGGGGGAGCAAAGTGTGCCAGTCTGCGCTCACACAGAAGCAGCGAATCCAGCGACCTGGCTGCTTTGTCTTTGCCGAAAGCACAGCATTGCAAACAAGAGTGGAACTTAAAGTAAAGAATCTATCTCACCAGGCTAGTATCGATCCAATACCGATGCCGACTTGGTATCGATACTATTGATATTTGGATCGATCCGCCCACCACTAACTCACATGTCACGGCCTGGGTCTGTGACCCAGCATTTTAACGTTATTATATTTGGGTTTCTAGGCATATTGTAGAATATTGTAAGGAGGTTTAGTTCTTGTATTATCAGGCTTCTTTGAGTTATAGATTTAGTTTAGGTTACTCTATGCATTCTGAGTATGTGTCTGTTCCTGTTCACTACATGTTCTCCTCCTCAGTGTCCTACTCTCAGCTATGCCTGTGGTAGGTTCCCCTTGTCTTTTAGTTTGTCTACATGTCGTGTTTCAGTGTCTGTTGTGTTTTTTCTTGTCGTCAAGTTCATGTCATGTCTGCGTTCCTGTTTTATTTTGAAAGAGTTTGGTGGTCTCTGCTTATTGCATTTGTTTTACTAAATGTGTTGTCATTATGTTTTTATGTTTGTCATTATGTTTCCTTCTAGTCAGCAGTGTCCTCATGTGTCTCCACATGAGGACACCTTGTGCTCTCACAAGGTGAATAGGGCTTCCCCTAATCACCTTGTGAGAGCACATTGTGGAGAAAAGTAAAAAGGTTCTTAATATCATGAGGTGTCTAGCAAGGTTGTCATGGGGCGCCAGTTCTGAAGCAGTGGTGTATGGGGCAGCAGCTAAAACTTGGTTAAAGAAACTGGATGTTATCCAAGATCGTGCGTTGAGGATTTGTTTAGGGGCGGTTAAAACAGTATGTTCTCTTCAGGTGGAAGCAAGAGAAATCCTCTGCATATTAGAAGCCAGCAGTTCATGGCTAACTATTGGGTTAATTTGAAAGGTCACAACGACAATGTTAAGAAGGTGTTGGAAAATTGTTGGAAAAGAGGTAAGGAATTCAAAAATAGTTTTGGATGGGTTGGGGATGATAGGGCAAGAGCGGTTAAGGTATATGACAAAGAATTCAGTCAGACAGTGTTGTGGCCTTTAATGAAATCCCATGCCGAAGTGGGTCTTAAAGTCGATAGAAACCTGGTGGATATCAAAAAGAGGGACAACACAATAGATCTTTGTCAAGAATTTTATAGTACAGGGTGGGCCATTTATAAGGATACACCGTAATAAAATGGGAGTGGTTGATGATATTTGTGGGACATTAGTATATGTGAGAGGGCAAACTCCTCAAGATGGGTGGTGACCATGGTGGCCATTTAGAAGTCGGCCATCTTGGATGCAACTTTTGTTTCTTCAATAGGAAGAGGGACATGTGACATATCAAACTTATTGGGAATGTCACGAGAAAAACAATGTTGTGCTTGGTTTCAACGTAACTTTATTCTTTCATGAGTTATTTACACGTTTCTCTTTGTTCAAAGCAATTGACATGTTGAAGAGGTTAACACGTGAGGAGTGGATCAAAATTGTGTTGATATCTGGTGAACGCAGTAACCGGGTCATTGCAGAAGATTTCAATGCAAGACACCCTACGAGACCACCCATCTCCCATGCTACAGTTAGCAAACTGCTTGCTAAGTTCCGTGAAACTGGTTCAGTGTTGGATTTGCCAAAATGTTTATGCAAGAAAACTGTCACTAATGAAGAAACATCAGTGGCTGTCCTAGCTTCATTCAGCAAGAGCCCACAGCATAGCACTCGCCGCATGTCACTGGAGAGTGGCATTAGTCGAACATCCCTTCAGCAGATATTAGCTACTCACAAATGGCACCCTTACAAACTCCAGCTACTGCAGCATCTCAACGAGGATGACCCAGATCGGCGCACAGAATTTGCAGAATGGGCAAAACAAAAATTGGAACAGGACCCTCAGTTCACGCAGAAGATTTTGTCGGCTCATGGAGAAAATTGATGTTTAAGGTTTTGATGTTTATTGGCATAATACTTAACATTTTTTGTATTTTTACTACATGCATTATGCCCTGTGTAAGAGGAATGATATCTCAATCTCTTGTTGCATATGTCACTGTGCCAGAGGAGGAAGAAGGAGAAGACGATGAGTATGAAACTGATGTGATGAATGATTATGTTTGAATGATACACATTTTATGACGACCAGACCGAAAGCACTCACAATGTAGGGTCTGTGTCTGAATTACATTGATGTACATTCTTTAAATTCGCTACAACAGGAGGGAATGCTGAAAGATTTTTTAATTTTGTGATTATGCTTAGTTGTAGCTTCATTTAAAGGAAGAAGAGCTTGTGAATTGGAACCAACACAGGAAGAGAGATTGAAGCCATATGTGTAGAGGAATGCGGTGACATACGACACTTCCTCCTGTTTTAACAGACAAACTGGCTCTCTCTCTCTCTCTCTCTCTTCCTTTCCTTTTATGGGAATGTCTGACTTTCTATACATACAAAGTTACCTCCTTTTTCTTCAGATAAGCGAAAGGTTTTCTCCTTATAAGGGAACAGCATCAGTTCCATACATGCCACTCCTACTGCTGTGGAAACTGGTTTAAGTATAAATAAAGAGAGTTCTGAAAGCCCTGGGCGGTCTTTCCTCTGTCTCTGTCTGTCCTGCACACGTCTGGCGCAGGACAGATCAGACGGTGAGGGGGGATCGTCCATGTGTGCACATGTATAAGATATCTTGAGTCTGAGTTCCTTTGCCTTCTACAAATTCTCTTC